TTATTTAATAAAATTCAACTCTCCAACAAAGTGGAGTCTGAGTATCCATTTAATCAGATGGATGGGTAACTATCTGACCAGAATAGAAGCTTAACTTTTTCTTTGATACATTTTTTGACAAAAGGATTCATTAAAATCAAAAATACTTCCCCAATTTTGATCTTTTGTTTTATCAGAATTATTTTTGTTTTTGGAAATACAAGTAATATCATCTCTATTTCATAAAAGAAAAAATATTGGATTTTGGAATTTAAAAAAACAGGCTTCTCAAAGACATCTGATAACTGATAAATATTTTACAAAGAATAATCATCAAGTAATAGATGACTGTAGATAATTTTCAATACTAAAAATAATAAGAAAAATATATAATCTTTATATAATTGCCTTACTTTTTTATTAAAATCATTCCCCTCCCCACTGTAAGGAATAATGACTCTAAAACACAAGGGTTAATGGGAGTGAAAGAGAATGAAGAGAATAAGGAGAAAAGACAATAAAAGAACATGATTCGGAAAGATAGAAGATGTCAATTGACATTACATTTAAATTTTTGAAGATTGTCAGTGACAAGAAATCAAGAAATCAAAATAGAGTTCTACAAGCAAGTAATGCATGAAAAGAAACTATCAGAATAGAACATACGGATGCATCTAGCTAGTTTGACAGTAAAAAGGTGAGGCCTAGTTGCCAATCTAGTAGCAAGTGTAAATTCTTGCAGTCGAGTCACCAAGGAAAAAAAACTCATCAAAACAATTGCCATGAAAATATTAGTAGAAAAGTCACAAGAAAGTAACAAAAGTCAAGATGCCAAATTACAGACCTTTCTTTTAATTTTGTCAAGAATCACAAAATATATAGTAGGAGAACCCGACCAGATATCGCAGCAGTATTCAATGCATAGACATATGGTAGATTTATAAATGTGAAAGATGGATTCTGACAAGAAAAATTGTCTGGTACGACACAGTGAATCAACTTTCCTAGCAGTAGACCTAGCAATTGATTCGATATAATCTTTTTGATTCATGTCAGTGGAAAACAAAAGACAATTTTCTTATATTTATGCACATCAATAAAAGTAAGGTATCTCAGCCATATAAAATATCTTATATATATATATATATATATATCCATATAAATGGCTTTTGATATCATTACTAAAATATTGCTGCCACAAGCCTTCTTGAATGCTTTTCATCATCGTGTCCTAAAAGTTAAAAATGTCACTTTTTGTTTGTTACCAATAGTTTTCTTATAGCTTCCATTTTTAAAACTTCCTCATTTATCACATGCTCCACCCATGCCATTCTCAATATTTGTCATTTGAAGGTGATGAATTATTTTCCACTCCACTTACAACCACTTTCCCACAGATGAAAAGCATCTCACTATTTCCATGGCAAATGCTCTGATGAACTACATTCCTTAGTTCTATCAGTTCTAACCTTCACAGTTAAGGCCCACCTTGCCATGTACACTAGGCCAAGTCATCCCCATTCTTTGTGTATTCCATTAATAAGGAAATAGTTCCATTTAGACAGTTTCTTCCCAATAACTGCTACTTTGTGTAACATACTCCCAAGAGGATGCATTACTGATCAATACAATCTTAACCTATTCAAGTCTAGGGCTAACTGTTATATTTTCTACATATCAGCATAATCTGTACATCTTATCTCTTCCTTTGAATGCAACAACCTCATTCAGTAACACTTTAACTTGAGTGACTCTTGAGCCTTGTATTATGTGAATAATTAGTAAAAAAAATCTAAATAATATCACATATTAATCACTGCTATACTCTACCTTTACAAGAGCCAGATCAGGCCAAAAATCAGGTATTGTTGCCACACATAGGAGCTGCCCAGTCTTCGCTTTCCAGTCTCAATCGGGTTCAAAAGTGTCGCCACATTTTTGTGGGTGACAAAACATTTTCCACCTTACAACCTCTTTCTCACAGATGAAACACTGTGAGCCTATTTCCATGGAAAGTGTTCAGATAAACTAGATTCTTTAGTTCCACCAGTTCTAATCTTCATGGCTAAAACCTGCCATGACAAGTAAATTGTAGTGAACTACCTTCATTCCCTTCATATTCCATTGGTGAGGTGTAAGTTCCACTTGAACAGCTTCATCATACAAACCAGTATAACTGATATACAAGAAGATACTTTCCTGATCACTTCAATCTTAATCTGTTCAAATTTCAGGTTAACCATCAGATATTCATATAAACTATTCCTCCTACTCTGTAACTCTTTACTTTGAATGGCTCTTGGGCCTTGTACATTGTGAACATCATTGTAAAATGAAAGATAAATAAATAAAAGTTCAAATCTTTTCTTCATTTATAAGAAAATTTAAGATGAAAAGTAAATACTGACTTCACAAAGCAAAACTGTCCAATTTAGAAAAAAAAATTAACAAAACCAAAACTTTATAATGATATTAACATATTATGTTGGATGATTGAATCTTAATGAATCTGTTTGTCATTCATATATTTGTGTACTCATATATTCAATCATAATTATGTGTGTGTCTATTATGACGTGATGTCTGTATGTCTAGTCACGAATAAAAAATTAAAAACTATTTATTTTACTTGCAACAGCATCATTTGACAAGTCACCAGA